GACATGGAAATGTATTATCCCCACCTGAGGGATGGGCCTTTGCTTCCCATCCCTCAAAAAAAAGATCCTTTTTTTAAGAGATTTTTTTAGGCCAGATGGATGGAAATCTGACATGGAAATGTGTTATCCCCACCTGAGGGATGGGCCTTTTCTTCCTGAAAGATCCCTTTTTTAAGAGATCTTTTTAGGCCAGATGGATGGAAATCTGACATGGAAATGTATTATCTCCTCCTGAGGGATGGACCTTTTCTTCCTGAAAGATTCCTTTTTTAAAAGATCTTTTTAGGCCTGTGTTGTATTTGCAGGGAGATGCCCCGATGAAGGCAGGAATGATGAATCTGACTCTATATTCTCAGAAGGCTAATTTATTGCTTTATGATACTATATTATATTAAAGAATGCTATACTATACTAAAGAATACAGAAAGGTTACTTACTAAATGCTAAAAAGATCAAAATGAAAACTTGTGACTCTTTCCAAAGTCTTGACACAGCTTGGCCCTGATTGGCCAAAGAGTCAAAACAACTCACACCAGAATCCAATGAAACAACCACCTGTAGGTAAACAACCTCCAAGCACATGCCAAAGCAGCAAAACACAGGAGAAGCAAATGAGATAAGAATTGTTTTCCTTTTCTCTGAGGATTCTCAGCTCCCCAGGAGAAAAATCCAGGGTGAAGGAATTTTTTAAGAGAATGTGAATGCCACAGGCCTGTGACAATCCCATGAGATAAAACTTCCTCTTTTTTTTCCCAAAAATGCCTCATATTTGGGCCAATTGGGATTGTCCCTCTCCAAAGTGAGCTGCTGACACAACAGGCTTTACTCACAGGAGCTCTTTGGTGTCATGAAAACTTGGAAGCCTAAAAAGAGATGTTTTCCACTTAACTTTTTGGTTGCTTGAGGGCTTTTTGAGTTTGGCACAACGCTGTACCTCCAAAATTACTGTTTCCCAGAAGTCTTGCTTTATCCTGTGCATCTCTTCCCTTTTTCCACCCCTTTCCTCCTTATTTTCTTGGACAAATGTGATAATGGCCACCACAGCTCTGTCCCAAAAGCTGTGACCGCCTACAGACACGATAAAAAGCCATTAACTGCCCCCTCCTTCCACAAAACCACTGTGAAAGTTGAAGAGGCAGGAAAATAAAAGAGGAAGAAAAGGTGTTCCTTCTTTTTTACCCAGAGTTATTGCTACCGGATCCGCAAAGCCCTGGAGCCCTACAAACCCAAGTGGTGCAAGACTCACGAGAACTGGTCCCTCTACTTGTTCTCCCCACAGAACAGGTAAGAAATTCCAGTGGAATCCCAGCCCAGCAGGGGTTTGAGGTAATGGAATATTGCTTTCCTAGCCAGTCTCCCCTTGGGAAAAATCCTTCAGAGCTTTAGGATCCAGTTCCTGATTTTGAGGTGAAGTTTTCAGTTCAGTGTGGGCAGAACTGTGTGGTTCACCCCGTTGCTGTCAGTGGTTTAGCCAGCATTAGTAATAATTAATAATTAATTATGATCATGGCTGATGCCTGTGGAGATGCTGCCTCACCACCTGGGCTGGTCCTGGTTTGGGGAGGAGACTGTTCCTGACCCAAACTTCTGAAGGATCTGTTTTTCCCACCTCTCTCCAGGTTCCGAGTGACGTGCCAGAAGGTCATTGCCCACAAAATGTTTGACCACGTGGTTCTGGTCTTCATCTTCCTCAACTGCATCACCATAGCTCTGGAGAGACCAGACATCGACCCCCTGAGCACGGTGAGAGGCATTGCCTTCCTCCATCCCCCATCCAGATCTTCATCTCCGCAGGACCAGAGCCTGCAAGATAAATGTTGGATTTCTGACTCGTGTCTCTTTGTTGTTCTGTGTTTTCCAGGAGAGGATATTCCTCAGTGTCTCTAATTACATCTTCACTGCCATCTTCGTGGTTGAAATGATGGTTAAGGTAATTAGAGCTTCATCCCATGGCCCAGAGCAAGTTCTGGCAAAGACCAGACCATGCCAGAGTTATGACCTGGGTGAAGATTTCAATATCTCCCTTCTCCTGGCTGCAGGTGGTAGCTCTTGGCTTTTTCTCTGGGGAGAACACGTACCTGCAGAGCAGCTGGAACGTCCTGGATGGGGTGCTGGTCTTTGTGTCCATCATTGACATCATTGTGTCCATGGCATCAGCAGGAGGAGCCAAAATCCTGGGAGTCCTTCGTGTGCTGAGGCTTCTGCGGACCCTGAGACCTCTCCGGTATGGGCTGATAAATCAGAGAGTTTGGGAAATGCACGAGGTCTTGCTTAATAACACAAAATAGTGAAATACAACACGGGTAGAAACAAGTTTGGGGATCTCTAAACTCGGTGAGAAATTGTTTGAAGGCAGTGAAATGAGTTCAGATTTATCTTCTCCAGCTTGGACATGCATGGTTGGAGTTTGGAGTGAGAGGTGTGGTCAGAATCCAGAGTGAGGGCAGGCAGAGCCTCCTCCACTCTGCAGCTTTATCAGCCCTTCCCAAATCCTTCTTCCACTGCACAACCTCACAGGCACTCCCCAGCAAAGAGGGAACAGGTGCTGATGAGGATTTGATAAGCTCCAGCATCCTTCTGAGGATTTGATAAGCTCCAGCATCCTTCCCTGCTCTCCTGACCCTGCCAAACATCCCTGCAAAGCAGCTCCTCCCTCAGCCAGGCACGGGAGGGCAGAACTCCCAGTGTTTGAGAACAGGAGTAAAGATAATCTGTGTTTTGGTTATGATTACACAATACAGAGGGATAATGCTTGGGGGGGATTTGCATCAGCTCCTGTTCTGGTTTTGTCCTGTTTGGCAATAAACAGGAGCCTTTTTTTTTACTGAAGTTTCAAGGGAATGAGACAGTCACCTCCAAAAACCTGGAAACTTTCTGGGACAAAGCTGTGCTTGTGAGTGATAGGAAGAGGGAATCTCTTAGACCACAAGAACAACAGCTCTTTGTGCTGTGTCCCCTTAGTGAGCAGGAAATCAGTGTTTCTGGCTCCTTGCTGTTCTGCTGGTGGCACCAGGGTCCCCTGGCAGTGCTGGCTCCCCAGGACACCCTGGACAAGTCACCACGTGTGACCCACAGAAGTGGGAACAGAATTCAGGGCACGGGCAGTTCATGAGGAAAGGGGAGGGGGAAAGGGGGAATGGGTCTTTGAGAATAACTAGGCCAGATCCTATGAATAGAAAGGAATTCATCACCTCTCACCACGGCCTCACCGAGCACAGGATGGCTCCAGGGACCATTCCTAACACTTTGGAGGTGCAGTTCACTCTCCACATGATTTCTCTCAAACAACGCTTTTCTGTGGGCTTGGCAGGCACAAGGCATCACTATCCATGTGAGCTGCAGCTCCCTGCAAGGACTCACCCTTTACAAGCCCATCCTAAAAACAACTTTGATGTTTTTCAGGCAAAATTCCAACCTGGCCCTTCCTAGGAAAGCTTGGCTTGGGCTGGTTCCACTGCCACCTTCCCAGGGCAGGGCAGTGCATGCCCCAGGTTCTCCTTCAGAGAAACAACACCCCAAACCTGCCTCAGAGCACCAGGAATCTCCTTCCCAACAGGACTGACCCTTTGGCTGTGGAGCTGCTGATCACAGGCTCCTGTTAGCTAAGAGCCAGCTCAGGAACTAATTAGGAAACAAATTGGAATTACTCTGTTTGGAAAGTTGTCATGGCCACTGGTGCAGGAGGAGCACCAGACGTGCTCTCCAGGCCCACTGGGAAGATGTTCACGTGTTGGGAGAGGAAGGAGGGTCCTGTCTGTGTCCCTGGGCTGGGATCAGAGCCCTTGGAGGGATCTGGAGTGAGGTACAAACCTCCCACAGTGGGAGCTCTGTGATACCCTGCCCAAAGGGAGTCTTCCCTCTTCACTCTGCCCAGGTGTTTGAATTCCATCTGATGAGACTGGGAATGTTCTGGTTGTCTGAAAAATTCCCTCCCTGCAGATAAAGGAGGTTTGGGCCAGCCCCAGAGAGCAGAGGAGAAGCAGCTGGGTGATAACAGGACATACATAAAAATTAAAAGTTTAATTGTCTTGCCTTTGTTTTCCAGAGTCATCAGCAGAGCCCCAGGTCTGAAGCTGGTGGTGGAAACCTTGATCTCCTCCTTGAGGCCTATTGGGAATATTGTTCTCATCTGCTGTGCTTTCTTCATCATCTTTGGGATTTTAGGGGTCCAGGTAAAGTATTTCCCCCCCCTGTAAGTGACTGCTGCAAAAGAGAAGCTGCTTCTCTCACAGGCTGGGGTTGAGGTGGAAATAATGAGCTGAAATGCCTCCAAAGGAAGATTTCAGTTTGGGGAGAAGAGCCAGGCTTTAGGAGAAATGATGCAGGGTGGGGTTGGCAGCTGCTCCCAGCAAGGATCTCAGGATTAGGAGAGCAGACAGACCTCCCTGCTGAACTCTACTGCAGGAATGAAAGATAAATCACAGAACAGACTTTTCAAAGCTGCTTCTTTTTTGTTCATTTTTTTTTTTTTAATTTGTGTTCTCAAATGCAGCTTTTTAAAGGCAAGTTCTACTACTGTGATGGCCCTGATGTCAAAAACATCACCACGAAGGCTGACTGCACCAACGCTCACTACAAATGGGTCCGGAGGAAGTACAACTTTGACAATTTGGGGCAGGTAAAGTCCTCCTTGCAGGGGTTTTCTGTGTCAGCTTTTCATGGATGGACACCTGAAATGTGTGGCTTCAGGAGGGCGTGGAGCCTCCATCACAGGGAGTTTCCAAAACTGATGTTGCAATCATCTATCAGTGGGTTCATATTTGCACTTGGTGATCTTTGAGAGCTTTTCCATCCTTGGTCATTCTATGACTTTTTATCTGGAAATCTCTGTCTTTTACCCTAAATGTGTAAATATGAATGCGATCAACCCTTGATCTCTTGCTATGGTTGTACAATTCCTTGGTTTTAGGAGAATTGTCCTAAAGCCACTGCTTTGGGATGCCATCCCTCAACTGCCCCTCTTATTCTCTAGATTCCTTCCTGTTGTGTTTGCAAATGAAGAAAATGAAGTTCTTCACATGGCTGAAAAGCAGGCCAGGCCATAGGAGGAGTTGGGAGCTCCTTCTGTGGGGACTGCAAGGCAGGACCAACCCCTTCTGTCCATTTTGCAGGCCCTGATGTCCCTGTTTGTCCTCTCCTCCAAGGACGGCTGGGTGAACATCATGTACGACGGGCTGGATGCCGTGGGCATTGACCAACAGGTACCTGTCCTGCAGAGCCCACCTGTGCTCCTCTCTCCAGCCTCAGGCCTGGGCACTCCAGGGTTTTGGAAATCCCAGGAAGCAGCAGAGCTGTAGAACCTCCTTGAGGCCATTTTGCTCATTGAGCTGCCAGTTTTCCATCTTTTGGAGTTGCTTTTCCATGGCTGCTTCCCATGTAGGACAAGCTCTGGCATGTCCTACATCAGGGGATGTAGAATGAATCAGAATGAGGGTGCTTGAGGATGGGAAACCACCAGGAATGTTGTGGAAAAGGCATTCAGTTTGTGAGTTTCGTGGTGTTTTCCGTGGGAAGTTGAGTCTCGCATGAGTAGGACCCACCCAGAGCCACAGTAACACTTTGGACTTCATTTCCCTCACTTCTGAAGATCTGGTAACAACTGAGAAACATTAAGCAGGAGCCCACATCTGAAAAAATTAAAAATCTGGAGCCTATCTTTAGCTGAAACAATCTTGCTGGTGGGATGATGCTCACCACTGAGATTTAACTGAAGCTGTGTGAAATAAATACCAAAATAATCAAATCCCGTAAGGCACTTTTGGGTGGGTTTCGCACCAAACTGTAACATTTTAGTCAGTGAGAAGGTGAATGAGAGGAAAATCCTTGGGGAAAATCCTCCTCCCAGTGCTCCCCTCCTCCCCACACAACTTACTGCTCCAAAAAAACTGACTCAACCCACCCGCTCTGTGCCGCTTCTCCCTCGTCTTTCCCTCCCCTCCCAGCCCATCCAGAACCACAACCCTTGGATGCTGCTCTACTTCATCTCCTTCCTGCTCATCGTCAGCTTCTTCGTGCTCAACATGTTCGTGGGGGTGGTGGTGGAGAACTTCCACAAGTGCCGGCAGCACCAGGAGGCGGAGGAGGCGCGGCGCCGGGAGGAGAAGCGGCTGCGGCGCCTGGAGAAAAAGCGCAGGAGTAAGGAGATGTACCTGTCTGGTCGGTAGAGTGCCTTACAAACCAAAATCTTTCTGAGCCCTGCCTGCTCCCAAAGCAAGATTTCTTTTTGGTTTTGGGGTTTTTTGTGGTTTTTGTTCGGGTTCACGAGGTTGTGTTGTTTCGTTACCTCTTTGGCGGTGCCTTAAGGCTCGGGCTGGTGATGCCTTGGGATTGTCCTGGTGGGAAATGTCACCTTTTCACCTGGCTGGGGGGGAAATGCTCCTCCAGCAGAGTCCTCCCTGCAAGGCCGTGCTGTCCCAAGCACCGAGGGACAGGGGTGAACAGTTTCCCTGCTTCCCCCGTGCCTGGAGGCCACTCCAAGGCTCCCCCGTGCCTTAACGCGCCGCCTGCATCCGAGGATGGTGGTGGGCTTTGATTTGGGGGTTCATTTCTCAGCTGAAGCAGTGCTGATGCTGTTTGGGAGTCCTGGAGCATGGCCCCGCATGCCACAGACACTGCATGGGGGCATGGACAGAGCCTGGGGACAGCAGGGAGCCCCAGGGTGGGGCTGCAGGGAGAATTCCTCTTGGGAACGTGTCCATGACAGGAGATGCTCGTCCCATTCCAGGCTGGAACTCAGTCCTGGACTCCTTTTGTCCTTGGAACACTGGCCAGGGGCAGGGCCATTAGCCAAAAAAGGCCTTTAGCCAAAAAAGGCCTTTAGCCAAAATTTCCTTCTCAGTGGATCTCATAGGGACCATCAAACCCCAAACCCCCCTGAGCCTGTGCTCCTTTCCTGCCCCAAACCTGCCCATTCCCTCCTCCCCTGGGAGGGTACTCCCAGGAAATCTGCCAGGAAAGCAGCCCCAGCTTTCCCAGAAGTTCCAGTGAGCAAGGAGAGCCTGCCAGGCATTTTTGAGGAGTGAGCAAACCTGGCTTGGCCACTGAGATCAAAGCTGGGCTTAGTCAGAGGTAAGGCTGAGCTTTCCTGGCCCTGTTTGCTTGCAGCAGTGCTCTGACTCTGCCTGGCCGTGTCATCTCCTGGAAGGAGCAAATATTGTGACAAATTGCTTGTGTCCCACACATCAAGGCATGGATATCCATTTCCAGCTGGAAAAGCAGCCCAGCTCCAAGGACACGGCACAGGCTGTGCTGGGAGAAATCCCATCCCATTCCACTCCCTGCTTCCCTCCAGGCTTTGAGCAGGAGTTGTGTCCCTCACTACCCCTCTCCTGCTCCCCTGGTGCTCCTTGGTGGACCCAGGGGACACCTGAGCACTAAATGGTGGCACTGCTGTCCCCACAGGACCTCAATGGCACCGCAGGGAGGGCCAAGCCCTTTTGATTTTAGCCAGTTGTGAGTTCAGTGCCTGGCTCAAAATGAAATCCAGCTCAGACACTGAGTCTCCCCAGAGATTTCCAAGGGTTCAAATGCAATTTCCTGCCCCTTTTCCCATTTTGCTGTGGGAGTGTGAGGGTGGAAGTACTGAAGGCAGCATTTCCAGCACAGGGAGGAGAATCAGATTTAGGGTCCCAGGGGTCCTCCTTGTGCAGCTTCTACCCCAATGTCCTGACCTAAAAGACATTCAGATAAACTCGAAGTTTATATGAAATTAAAAAAAAAAAGGCAATTTTAAGCATCCTTTGAGAGAGCAGGGGCACAGGTATGGAGGCACAGCTCGGTTCTTGATTAGGAAATAAATCTTATTAAAGCCTGGCTGTGACTGCACAGCTCAGACACAGAAAGAGCCAGTCCCTGTCAAAGTGATGGACACTGTGACATTGTCCCTCTTTATCCACCACCTCCAAGGAGCTATTTCAGCCCAGCCATTGCACAGATGAGCCTTGTAACATTTCATGGAGAGCACACAGGGAGGAGGACAGATTTCTGGAAGGGGATCAAGTCAATAGAGCAGCTGAGAAGTGAAACATTTGGCCATGTGCTGGGCTTCCAGAAGGCTCCCTGAAAATGTCTGGCTCTACCTGCAAGGACAGCTTGGCATCCAAGCTGGAGCTGTTAACAAGCTGAACCCAAATACCTGCTGCACTCTTGGGAAATCGCTGTTTCCATTTCAAGGGATGTATTTTTGTTTCAGTTGGGAGGGGTTTGAACCTCCTGGGTGGTTTAGGTGACTAATGGATTTGATGATGAAACCGTGGCAGACTCAGAAAGATGCGAGCTGTGGCTGTGGGCAGTGTGTGTGTGCTCGTGGAGCTGGGGGATCTGCATGGTGGCAGCAGCTGGCAGCTTCCTCTGCTTCCATGTGTCCCTTCCACTGCTTCCATGTGTCCCAGCACTCCGTGTCACCCCTGTGGAGCACCCCAGGGAGAGGAGGGAGGAATGTGGGGAGGCTGGCAGAGATCCCTGCTTTCACCTCACTCAGCATTCCCAGCGTTGGGCAGAGCAGGAGAGGAGGAGGAATTTGTGTTTTAGCAGCAGGAAAATCCAGCCTAGGCCACCAATGCACCCTGTGGGCTTGCTGTCTGCCTGGCACCTTGTCTGTGTGTCCTGTCCCCTGTCTGTGGTGTGCCCTGGGGATGGGGGGCTGGGGGATCTGTCCCTTCCTGCACACACAGAAATGCACCACGGGGCTGTGGCAGGCTGGGAATGGGTTAAACCTCAGCTGGGTGATCTGGGTGCCCATCCCAGGCTGGATCCAGGAT